CTTGGACATTGTTAGTGTCTGTTAGCAAAATATCTCATGAACCACTAGACAGATTTGAATGAAACTTCATCTATACTCCCATTTTCTTTACCCACTTTTTAATTCCAGGTGGTGGGTTGCTGGTGTCTATCTCCAGACATCACTGTGTGAGAGGTGGGGAACACCCTGGACAGGTCTCATGTCCATCACAGGGACACCCTGGACAGGTCGCGTGTCCATCACAGGGACACCCTGGACAGGTCGCGTGTCCATCACAGGGACACCCTGGACAGGTCTCATGTCCATCACAGGGACACCCTGGACAGGTCGCATGTCCATCACAGGGACACACACACACAGACAAACGTCCACTCATGATTAATGCTAGTTTAGAGTTACCAATTAGCCTAATGTGCATGTTGTTGGTTTGTGGGAGGAAACCGGGGTACCCAGAGAAAACTGCACGCACAAAGAGAACATGCAAACTGCACCCCGAAAGACTGGGGGGCGAACCTGTGACACTCTCACTGTGCGATAACAGCTCTAACCGCTGCTGCACCCTTAATAAAATATCAGGAAGTATTTGTTAGACGTACATCTACAAGAGATTAACTTTTGAAGTCAGTCCAATTAAAGATGGCTGCCATGGCAAATTGGCCTAAGCCAAAACAAAAGTCTAAGTTAATTAAATGTAGTGAAACAGCTGGAGTCTGTAGCATTAGCTGAGGCTCACCCTCACTAACCGCTAACTGATCTCACAATACTGAAGGACATGACAAATGATGTGACTAAAGTCTGTGTCCTCTCATCATGAGAGGACCTGAAGTTAAAACTCTGTGGGAGATGATTTTAGAACAAATAAAAGTCAATGATCCTCTCGAACAATGTCATATCAAGTCCTGCATTAGTGAAATGCACTTTTAATATCTCTATCACAAATCAATACTAACCAATACAATGAGTTTGCAGATAGTTTAAAATTATTTGGCCAATAGATGATGAAGACTATCATTTATTTTGTGTAGCAAAGGTCAGAGTCATTTAGGGAGAAAGTATCTAAATGTATGTAATAATGCAATATTTTGTGAATAATTATATATATATAAATATAAATGTCATCAAGATTTTTAAGAAGATGTAATTCCAACGTTAGAGCAGAAGACATTAACTGCAGGCTGACACCGAGTACTGACCTGGACAATACCAAAGGCATATTAATTTGTGCACTTATAATCATCTTAGAAATATGTTTATTTTACAAATTGAAGTTCAATTAAAAATACGCTGTAATGTTTGTTAGCAGTTTTACTTCAATCCTCTGTCAAAGGCAGGAAGACGGCTTGGACTGCAACATTCAATACAATCTAAACCTAACATTAATATAGTATCTGAGTAGAGCTTTTGTTAAAAAACAACAACTTTATTTTAGCTTTTAGTAAATGATTATTTTTCCCTGTACAAGGCAAGTTTTAACAAAGACAGGACAACAGGTGCAAGACGTAACAGTCACAGGTATAGAAACGTTCCCACTCAGTTTAGACGAAAAGCTTAGAGTGCAAAAACAAGATACACAACGTATTGATGAGGCGATTCAGAGGAATCATTCATCCCAACACACACAAACTAAACGCAGAGGAACCTCATCACCCCTGCAGTGCCATGGACCAAACAAAAACATGAAACTGGGACAGCTCCGCTTTGCAGGGAGAATAAAACAGCAGGTCAAAGATATTTGGTGTAAACACCAACATGAAATGTGACGAGTCACTAAATGGCGACCTTACAACTGAAGTTAATACATTCTCATTACTTAAACAATGCTGTTCTAATAAAGATGCAGGTAATGGTCTGGAAGAATTGTCTGGGTGAAGTATTCCAAGGTCTCATCTAAGACCCCCCCCCCCCCCCCCCCGTCCACCACACCCAGACCCAGATTTAGTCAGCACTTTTAGCAGCTCTGTCTAATTCCCAAAGCAAACGGCTCCAGTTATATACTATGTATAATTTCACTCGTATTTTGAACAATTTCTTTGTAGATACAATACTGTCTGACACTCTTCACAAGAAGAGAGAATTACCGTAATTTCCGGACTATAAGCCGCTACTTTTGTCACACACTTTGAACAATGCTGCAGCTAATTTATGGCTTTTTTGCGGGGGATGGACTAACGAGCTTCATGCAGCCAAAACATTTAGCCTCGTCACACTCGAGCTCTCACATAACTGCCCAAAACACATCTCCTGATTATGTGAAACACGTGATCTCTGGGTACACAACAAAGTATTTGTAGCTACTCAACATAAGTGTGAATCGTGCATTTAAAGTGGCACTACAAGGTCGGTGGAGGCTTGGATGATTGGCGGCAAGAAATCGCTTACCAAAACTGGCCGCATGCGAAGATGAACTTTTGCTCAAGTCTATCAGTGGATTCTGACAGTGGAGCAGGGTAAAAAAAAATCCACTATCATCAACGGGTTTCGAAAGGCTGCTGTGTGATGAAGAGGACAGCACAAATTTGCTTTGAGACGAAGTGACGTTGAAAACGACAACGGAAGAGAGACTGAGGGCATGTGCGATGAAGTTTTTCTGAGGCTGTTCAATTCTGAATTCCTGGCAGGCTACTGTATGTATGAGTTGTGTTTTTTCCCCTGCTGTCTAGCCCCATCTGGTGTTGTGTTTATGTCTGTGTTCCCCTGATCCTCTGTTTCTATCATTATAGGGTTTGTGTTTCTTTAGTATCTAGCTCCATCTTGTGTCGTGTTTATGTCTTGCATCCTCGATCTCTTTCTTTGGCATCTGTGATTACTCACAGGTGCCTTCACTTTGTCTATTGGTGTTTCCTGTATTTAAGCCTGTGTGTGTTTCTCTTACCCCTCATCCTGGTATTGTCTTTTGTTCACTGGTGATGATCTGTCTGTTTTGTAAGTACATCCTGATTATTCTGTTTGTTTTGCTGCCCTGTCAGCTCTTTGTTTTGTTAATAAATTATTTATTTTATATATACATCTTGAGTCCTTGCCTGCCTACCTGCACCACTGGGTTCACCAGCACCAAGCCCTTTGTGACACTGTACCGGTATTTTTATTTTTTAACCAGCCATGTTACAGGCACTGTTCAGAAAAAACATTTACTGTACGTATTTGTGTATGTTACCAATATGTTTTTAATTAAAACTTTAAAAATCTTTCTGTGTAAATATCTCATGTTACAACGTGGACACCTGTGGCTTATACACAAGTGCAGCCTATAGTGTTCAGATGCAGTTTTTCTCCTAAGAAAAACAAAATGTTTTTTTCTTTTTAAAGTTAGTGGGTGCGGCTTATATTCAGGCGTGCTCAATAGTCTGGACATTACGGTAATATTGTTTTCCTGATGTCCCTGCACTTTCTTGTGGAGGGAACAATGTAGAAAATTGCTTAAATTCCTCACATTTTTCTTAAGTGACGCAAATATCCCAAGCTCTCAGGAGGCAGTAAACATCTGATGCATGTTGTAAACAGCAGGGAACTCTGAAAATCAGATGCTTTTGGTGGTACCTCACTGGGCTGTGAACAGCCTCTGAGAGTCTCCACAATATCCTGAAATGTTCACAAGGTTTTAAACCTTCTTACATCAAGTTGCACAGATGTGCTACAGTTTTGAACACATAAAAAAAAATAATTGTGCAACAGATTTTTTATCAAACCGAGTCAGAGTCTCACACAGTGATGCAGAGAGATTCTGTGCCAAGCTGGAGGTGCAACGCTCATGTTGCAAGGCCTTTTGTAAATTAGCACACATCCAACATTGCACAAACTGTTAATGAATCTGGACCTCACTCTTCTTCAAGCATTAAACCAGTCAAAGAAAAGCTAGTTTTTAAAACATCACTGTGCATATAAGAATACTGCACATTGCTGAGTGTTGTTCTATGATGGTTGGCTGCATCTTTTATATCACAGCTCCGTTAATCGCTGCAGTTTTGCATAGATATCATGAAATACAAAACAAGATCCAACTAACATTAACCTTAGAGGTTTGACACAAAACTAACTGTGGCAGAGAAAACACAAGAGTCCCGAGCAACGTGCAACTTATTAAAAATGACTTGATAATTCATATTTCCCCTCATCATGTACATATTTATATTAGCAAAAGAAATGAAAGTGATTTGTTTTAAGGCAAAACAAGTATCCACAGTGATTTATGATTTCATGCATAACGGATGACTTCTTTACTCTCTGATCAAACTAAAATATACAAACCCCTCAAAACAATAGGCTGCAAAATAATAACTTTCTGTTTCATATGGCATATGACAAACAGTGCAGAGAATGGCAAATAATATTGATCAAACTAAGAACAGTTATCATTTCCCACGTTTCTTCTGGCTCTTCTGTCTGCTCTTTGGGCGGCTGTGTCTGAGTGGTTAGAGCAGTCGTCCTCCAATGCGAGAGTTGGGGGTTCGAATCCCCCAGCAGTCACATGCCGAAGTGTCCCTGGGCAAGACACTGAACCCCTCATAGCCTCTGATGTGTGTCCCATCAGTGTATGAATGTGATAAAGCTCTGATTAGTCTCTTTAGAATGATTTGTTCAATTATCTTTGTAGAGTTCTAGTAGAGTGATGTATGAATGGGTAAATGAGGCACAGATTGTGTTGTAAAGAGCTTTGAGTATCTTGATTAGATAGAAAGGCGCTATATAAGTACAGTCCATTTACCATTTGTGAGTAGGCAGGTGATTTGCTGCAGATATACTTTACTGTATGAATAATACTTTCCTGTACTTAAATACTGATAAAGAATACAACTCCAGGTTATCGCTGTACTCCTTGAACGTCATTAAACAACAAAATAGGATTATAAGAAATCAAAACTGGGTTTGCAAATTGCAAAAGGAGAAACAGAACTGTTCATTCCATACCATGTTATGTAGCAGAAAAGAGAAGCTCCGGTCTTCACGATGTTTCCAGACATCTTCTGATGAAGAAGTCTAATAAAAGTTCTCTTAAGGAGTGTGACTGATGTGTGACTGAACTGCTCACTCTGGCTTTTTCTTGTGTGCAAGGAGGTGCCGACTCTGGTTACAGCCGGTCGAGGCGAAATGCGTCCTCTGTAGCAGGGTCGGCGAGGATCATGTCGGGGTCGTTCAGCATGGTCAGGCCGTCGAGGGTCAGGGGGTCAAGGTTTAGGTCGTCCAGTGGAAACTGAGAGTCCACATCGAAGCTGACATCTGTGGACAGTGAGCTCGTCAGCTCCTTAGGCAGGCTGGGCGGAGACTCTCCACTCACTGACATCAAACAGAAAAATAAAACTAAATTATTCATCTTTGGATAAGCTCATACAGAAAACAACTGAAAATAAATGCTTGACAAAACTAAACAGAAATCAACAAAAGAAGAAGAAAAAAAAATCCATATTTAAATTCAAGTCAGCTTCCCGTCACAGAGATTGCAGTAGTGAATATTTGTCATTTTCGAGATGAGTGGTTTTCTGGACTGGAATTGAACAAGAAATGTGAGTACAGTAGTCCCTTGCTAATTTGCGGTCTGTTTTTTGCTGACTCGCTCTATTGCGGTTTTTCAAAGTAAGATTGGACATGACATACAACTGGCTGATTGATGGATGAGCCGCAGTATCGGAATGGAATTTTTATTTAAAATAAATTATTTTAAATGATTTAGCACCTGTGTGCAGCCCACAGCTGTGGGAGAAGTTTCCTCCTGCAGCTGATCAGCTGATCTCTGCTCTGCAGCGGAGAAGTGGGCATGGCCGAGAGCACTGGGAGAGAGCAGCGGAGGCAGAAAGCTGATTTCATGACATGCTGTGCTCTTTTAGAGTGTTTAGTTTAGAAACATTGTTTAGAATATTGCAAGAGTGTGGGAAGGATTTAAAACACCTATATACAGTGCCTTGCGAAAGTATTCGGCCCCCTTGAACTTTTCAACCTTTTGCCACATTTGCTTCATGATATCATCAGCTCGCTGCAGAACAAACACCCCGAGGCTCTTTACATGGTAGCCGGAGATTTTAACCACGTGAATCTAAAGGACTGTCTCCCAAGCTTTTATCAACATGTGGCGATTCCAACACGTGGAGACCACACGTTGGATCGTATTTACACGAACGTAAAAGATGCATACAAAGCTGAACCCCGCCCCCACCTAGGACTGTCAGACTACATCTCAATCTTCCTGGCTCCTGCTTACATGCCCCCGCTGAGACGCTCCAGACCGGTACAAAAGAAAGTTAAATGCTGGATCCAGGACAGTGGCCCCATACTGAGAGATTGTTTTGACCGAACAGACTGGCAGGTTTTCAGAGAAGCTGCTGAAAATGGAGGTTCGCTTGATCTTGACCAATACACATCCTCAGTTCTGGGTTACATTAGTACATGTACTGACACCGTCTCCACTATCAGAAATGTTAAAAGCTACCCAAATAGAAAACCTTGGCTGAATGCAGAGGTGCGTACCCTGCTGGAAGCCAGGAACACTGCCTTCAGGTCTGGAAACTCAGAGGAGCTGAGTAGGACAAGAAAAGAGCTGGTTGCTGGTATTAAGAGCGCCAAGGGCGCATATGCAAAGAGGATCGAGGGTCAATTCATCTCACAAGACCCTCGGAGCATGTGGAGGGGCATTAAGTGCATAACAGATTATAAAGGAAGGAGCGAACAATGCCCCAAAGACCCATCTCTGCCTGATGCCCTCAACAAGTTCTATGCACGCTTTGAAGACCCGAACAGACCACCCAGCACCAGACTCACCTCACCACCGGATGAAGAGCATCTCAGCGTGACCTCAGCAGAAGTAAGGAGTACCTTCAGGAGGATTAATCTGCACAAGGCAACTGGCCCAGACAACATCCCCGGAAAAGTGTTGAAGGAATGTGCTGATCAGCTCTGTGAGGTGCTGGCAGACATCTTTAACACCTCATTTACCCTGGAGATAGTTCCCACCTGCCTGAAGACTGCCACCATCATCCCAGTCCCAAAAAGCTCTACAGTGACTGGTCTGAATGACTATCGGCCAGTGGCCCTCACCCCGATAGTCGCTAAATGCTTTGAAAAACTGGTCATGACTCGCATCAAAACAACCATCAACATCAACGAGGACCCTCACCAGTATGCATACCGTGAGAACCGATCAACAGAGGATGCCATCTCCTCTGTGGTCCACACTGCGCTCACCCACCTGGAGCAGAAAAACTCTTACGTCCGTATGCTCTTTGAGGACTTCACATCCGCCTTCAACACCATGATCCCCCAAACCCTGATGGACAAACTATCCACACTAGGACTAAGCCCCTCCATTTGCAACTGGGTACTAGACTTTTTAACAAACAGACCACAGTTATTGAGGATCCACAACTTCTCCTCCTCCACCATAACCCTCAGCACTGGCTCTCCTCAGGGATGTGTGTTGAGCCCCCTCCTGTTTACTCTGCTCACGTATGATTGTGCAGCTACCCATCCAGGCTGTCACATTGTAAAGTTTGCAGATGATACAGCGGTGGTGGGATGCATCACAAACAATGATGAGTCCAGCTTCAGGCAAGAGGTGGAACACCTGGAGAGCTGGTGCAAAGAGAATAACCTTCACATCAATGTGAAGAAGACAAAGGAGATGATTGTGGACTTCAGAAGGAACAAAAACACCTACACCCCCCTGAACATAAGAGGATCTGCGGTGGAAGTGGTCTCCAGCTACAAGTACTTGGGTGTACACATGAATGACAACCTCAGCTGGAGCAACAACACCACCAGCCTGATCAAGAAAGCTCATCAGAGACTCTACTTCCTCAGACGGCTGAGGCGCGCTGGTCTGGGAAGCTCAGTCCTCACCTCCTTCTACAGGTGTGCATTGGAGAGCATCCTGTGCTCCAGCATCAACGTGTGGCATGGAGGCTGCACAGCCGCAGAAAGAAAAGCTTTGCAGAGAGTGGTGAAGGCTGCACAGAAATCTGTCAGAATCAACCTCCCCACCGTCACAGACATCTACACCTCCAGATGCAGGAAGAGAGCCACCTGCATCATGAAGGACCCCACTCACCCAGCACACACACTTTTTGCCCCACTCCCCTCAGGAAGGAGGTTAAGGAGCATTAAGTGTAGAACCACTAGACTGAGGAACAGCTTCTACCCTGAGGCTGTTAGACTCATGAATCTCTAACTAGAATAATCACTGTGAAAAACCATATCATGTTGCTGCTGATCTGTTTCATGTTGCTGCTGATCTGTTTCAATGTTGATGTGTTCATGCGTGCACATCTGCTCACAGACTCATGTTCATGTTTGTGCTGATGTTCAATGTTTTATGTTATGAGTGCTTAGTGTATATTTAGTTGATGTTTTTCTTAGTTCATATCTTAGATGTTATTACTGTTTTTCTTAGACATTTTATTGTTGGATGTAACTGGGACCTTGTGTACATAATTTCGCTCCACCACATGTACCACATGAGGTGCGAATGACATTAAAGAAACTCTGACTCTGACTCTGATCTGTTAGTCGGTCCATCACCAGAGCAAACAAGAAGGGGCTCAGAGCAGATCCTTGATGCACTCCCACCTCAACTTTGAAGCTATCTGTTACTTCTACAGCACATCTCACCACTGTCCTACATATCCTGCTGTCCTCATACATGTCCTGTACCAGTATAACATACTTCTGTCATTCCAGATTTCCTCTGAGATGATTATCTGTCTGCACCTCCCTGTGTTTTTCTTCTCCTTGTCCTCCTGCACACACCTGTCCCCATTCTTAATCACTGCAGGCGTTTCTCACTCGTCTCTTTCGTCTTCAGTATTTATTCCATGTGTTTTCACTCCCTTGGGATCTGGGCATTATCCTACCAAACGCTCACTGCTCCTTCCATGGTGTCCGTGGTCTGCTCTTCTCCTGTTTTCTCATATGTAAGTTGTTGCTGCCCCATCAGCAGTTTGTTTTTGTTTATCCATCCATTATCTTTTACAGTACCCGCTTCTTCCATTTTGGGTCACGGGGGTCACCGGTGCCCATATCCGGCAATCACAGTGCGAGGGGCGGGGTACACCCTGGACGGGTCGCAAGTCCATCACAGGGCTGTTTTTGTTTCATAAATCATTACTGAGTTTTACTCCTGAATCCTCGTGCCTCTGCCTGCACTTGGGTTCAACATTAAACGCCAGATTGCATCATCCTCATGCAACACCACACCTCCTCCCTCCGCACTCTGTCATATGTCTTTTAAATCCACGAAAACACAATGGAGTTCTTTCTGACCCTCTCTGTACTTCTCCATCAGCTTCCTCAAAGTAAAGATGGCGTCTGTGGAGCTCTTTCTTGGCATGAAGCATACTGCTGCTCAGTCACCTCTCGTCCAAGTCTTGCTTCCACAACTCTCTCCCAGATCTTCACTGGTTCAGGAGGTGCCATCAGACACCAAACCCCTCTGTTCTTCAAGCTGGAGTCCCTGATGGTTACCAGTGTGTTCCTGCTACACCACCTTCCTTTCTTGAATACCATTTGTTGTGATTCAATGATTTTCTGGACTGGCCTTGAATCTGTTGAAGATAAATGAGAATTAATTCTTGACTAAGTGGTCATTGTTCTATATTAGATTGTTAAATCGTTGATTTTTAATAACTTATACCACGTCAAACTAGTTTCTGCAAGTTCTTATTCTTCATTTTGTGATTTTTAATTTGTTTTTATTATTTTTGTAATAAAATTTCAAAATACAAATTTGGTCTCCTCCTTTGTTATGGTCAAGAGTTAATAATTAACAAATTCCACTTTAGTTTTTGAGCTCTGGAATTAAATAACTTGTTCTTGGGCAATACGCTGGTGCCCCATTTTAAAGAGAGTAAATATAAATATAAATGTAAGGTGAGGAAAAAGTATCACTCTTCCGTCTCCATCAGTCCACACCTACTACAGTATACAAAATAAATGTTAACATATGTAAGAGCTTTTACTTCAAAACTAGATGCAGCACAGGTGGAACAACTGGGAGATAAAGTTAGAGACCAGTCTGAGATGG